TGGCAGATTAAAAATTCAACTTTGCAAGGGTTATTTTCCCAAAGCCATATACCACATCTGGACTTGAACATAGAGCACATGTACACTTTGGGGTTGAATTTTGCATGTCTGCTTATTGCATTTGTTTGGCTTCACTGAGTTGACAAGAAATCCTTGATCAGAACCACAAGCTCCCTAAGCAAATACCATAGTGGTGTTCCACTGCCACAACAGCAAATAACCAGAGGGGCAGGGGAGGTGGGAATCTTGGTTTAACCCCCCGGGATGACTCTTGCCATGCATCATACCACACATCTGCAGCCATGTGATCTTCCTTCTTTGCCCCCCGCCCCCATTGCTAGGTATCGATACTCAAAGGACTAGAATGTGTCACTGTGTGAAACAGGAAAGAAACCTTATCATGCTGTTCTTTGAGAGATTTTGCAAAACATGGAGCTAGTGCAATTTTGGAAGAAAGAAATGGCTCTAATACATGCTACTTTCAGAGCTATGGTATCTCCTAGGACCTTCTTTCCTGTAGGAGATATAAAGTTATCTTGTAGTCTGGGCCAGAAAACATGTTTTCACCTTCTTCAGCCAACTGGGACCTCACAGAATCAGCAGTTGGCACATTTTTGCTGGCTTTCCTGGCCTGATTCCATTCCAGAGGGGACTGCCTATGGGGAGGTGGTCTTTGGGCAAGGATTCGGTTAGGGCCCTTCTGGGATCACAGGGCCTTGAGGCCCAGCCATGTAAACGTCTCCTTTTCTGGTTGGCTTGCAATGAGTAGACCGCATCTGTTGGATTAAAAATTCGCTTTCTGGAGGGTGGTGAAAGGCTTGTGTGGAAGAGACACTGTTATCTTTCAAGCAAACAGCTCAGGAGGTTGAAGAGCAGTGTTCTTGGCCCAACATATGTTTGCCCAGTGGCCGTGGGAGCGTCCCCCGCCAGGCGCTGCCTTCCACCCCATGGCGACATGCACGCATACCGCGGCTGCGGCACACCGTGTCCGCGCCCTCACATCTCCCTAGCAAAGAAAACCCCCATTTATAGAACCCACCACACAAACTCACTCTTTGGACTCTTAAAAACAAACAAGATCCCAAGGCCACAGGCTTCATGCGTGCATGTGTGGTTTTGTAAAATCTCAAGCCGTGAATCAAAATAATTTTGGAGACATAGTCAAAGCCCAAGCCCAAGTCTTGGGATGAGGGTGGGGAAAATGCAGGGCAGTTTCCCTGGGAAGAGGGAGGACAGGGAAGGATGGGAACAAGACACAGAAGCATCCCTGGAGCATGGCTCGTTGTTATCGCTGTCCTTAAGGATGTACTTGCTGTGGTAACTTCAGGAGAAACAGCAGGGTGAGAGAGGCAGGTGATTGCTACAGTCCTCGTCTCTTTCCCTTCAGTGTCCAGAGCTGCCTTGGCCACGGTACTTAACAGTCTGCTGTCCTACATGGTTTCTCTTTATTTTAAGCCTAAGTTTCATCTCTCTTCTGTGGCTGCTACACTCATTGGGAGCAGACTTCAGGACTTTTCCAGCTTCTGTTCCCCTAGACGTATTGCTTACTAAGTACCCACCCTGCTGGGGACCATGATCATGGTTTTGAGTGCCAGCATTGAATTCCCTCTCTTTCTATGTCCCCTTAACAGCAGATGTGGAGTAAATTTAACTAGATGCTCAAAAGAGGAGAATTCAGTTAGGTTGAGATTTAGTTCAACCCATCCCCTTAGAGCGAAGGACCGGAGGATCAGCCCATGGTTGTCTTTGTAGCCCCAGAGACTCCCAAAGTCCTGGACAAAGAGTTCAGACTCAATAACAACAGTTTACAAACCGGAGCCCCTTCGCACACATTTCTGTAAAATGAGTAAAGAAATGACACAGAGAGCCACATTAGCTGGGAAATCTCCATCCATCTCTAGCTAATGTGCACTTCGTCTCATGAGAGCCACATGAAAAACTCCACAAGAACTAATTCTCCTACGGCTCATTTTAAGAGGATCAGAGATTGTAGGCTGGATAGCAGAAGGCCTTGAAAACCCATCTAGGTTCGTCATTTTAACTGAGTTCACGCAATGATTGAATATACAAAGCTATGTATAATGTTCGGATGGAGGTTGTGGCCATGGTGGATTTCTGGGTCTGGATCACAACTAGAAATTATTTAGAGGTAATAGAGCATAAGTGAGAACACCGTACTGCAGGTCCAAAGGTTCTGGATGCACCTAGATTATGACGTGTGCTTTATTTAGAGAAGCTACTTTATCTCTGAGCATTAGTCCTCTCCTGTGAATTGGGAGTATGGAACACCCTCAAATTTCTCTGGACCCAAAGCCTCGGAGTCCATAGGAAGACCACAGTGGGACCCATTTTGCATAAATAGAGCTGTGCTTCTGATAATGAGTTTACTGTTTGTAGGAGTCCAGTGTGTTGAGATGTGCCTTTTTATGATAGGGATGTCACAGCGGGGGAAGTATTTAGGGGGCCCTGCACTGTTCCTGCTGGAAGGTAAGAATAAGGTACAGCATTTGGTGCCACAGAATGGCAGAGCCAGGACGCTGCTACCCTCTTCCCACCAGGCTGGCCCCTGAGGGGCCCTGTGGCAGGGGAGTGGTGACTGTCAGCAGCCCCTGTCAACTCCCTGTATTACAAGGAGCTCCAGTCAGATACCCGTGGTGTCTGGAGAGAATGGTGGAAATACATGAATCTGATGTCTGTTTGGATATCTCCTTAACGCTCTTCCTGACTCATCTCTGATCAAAAACGTGTGATGACACACAGGCAGTTCAATCCTTGGTTGAACAGCTCTTCTATGTTTACAAGTGTTAAAATGATTGGTTCATGACATCTCCCCACGTCTATTATTTTCTTTTACTTGGTTTTGGTTTTGATTCTGTCTTCTAGAACCGCATGGACTTTATTTATTTATTTATTTATTTATTTATTTATTTAGCACTAAGCTACATTTCCAGTCACTTTTGAGTTTCCATTTTCAGACAGGATCTCACTGAGTTGCCCAGGCTGGCCTCAGATGTGCAGTCTTCTGCCTTGGCCTCCTGGAGCACTGGGGTTACGGGCACGTGCCACCATGCATAGCTAGATTTAGTACATTGACGCATCTGAGTCTTCTGTGCTCCTGGTTAAGCAACACTGACTGTCTGAATCATGGCGTCACACCCTCTTTGCCTCCTGGTAGTTCTCCTTGGGTGGTGTTTATGAATGCTGATGCCCTTTTGAATATCAAAGCTCCATGCAGAGTGGAGTTATAATGGATTAGGTGATGGATTAGGATTACAGCATCTGTGATAGTTACCTCCACCCTGGCTATTCACACTGAGCCCCTACACACACACACACATGCGCACGCACATGCATGCACACCGTTCTTCATCTAAGGCTCCTGCATCATGTGTGTGAGGAGTTGTCTAGTTTGCTTTGATAATAGTGTTTCCTAGAGTTTTTCCTGATATTTATTTATTTCTTTATTTATTTATTTATTGTATTTTTGAGACAAGGTTTCGCTCTGTAATTCAGGCTGGCCTTGAACTCATTTTGTAGCCTAGGCTGTTTTCAAACTTGCAGTGATCCTCCTGCCTCAGCCTCCCAAGTGCTGGGATTACAGGCATGTGTCAGTGCATACTTACATATCTGCATATGTCTCTGTCTGTGTCTCCTTTGTAGCTATTAACCCCTGGGTAATATTTTTTTACAGTTTTATCTGTTAAGTAGTCCACTGTGAACAAGCACTTTGAAATCAGTTGCTGGCTGTGGTAGTGTATGCCTGTAATCCCAGCACTAAGGAGGCTGAGGCAGGAAGATTGCTACAAGTTTGAGGCCAGCCTAGAATATATAGTGAGTTCAAGGCCAGCCTGAACTACATAGTGAAGCGCTGTCTCACCCCAGCCCCCAAATTATGCTACAGAATGCTTATAAAGTCTCTGTGTACAAGATAGCATATTAATAGCAGTTTACAAACTAGAAGCAACTGAAGCAACTTTGATGATTCTTATCTGTCAACAAGAAAATGCCCAGGGAAACATAAGGCACATTAAGTTTTATGTGGTGAATGGAGGCGGACTTGGACAGACTCTCACTTTCCACGCATGAGATGTTGTACCGTAGTGTACCGTAGTTGATTTCAGGAGCTTAAATATATAGCAGCAAATTCTATTAGGTCATTAGATGTCTGACTATAATATTTTTAGTTGCTGCATGGTATTTCATCATGCAGATATATTAGGCTTTATTTAATCATTCCCTTGTTGTTGAACGTTTAGGCTTGTCAACACTGTTTTTAGAGCTAATGCTGGAGGGAACCTTCTTGTATTTAAACCATACGCATCTTTGGTATTTACTGAGTAAATTATTAGAATTGGAGTTGTGGATGGAAAAATGATCATTTTCCAGACTTTTACTGTAAATTGCCACCCAGAAAGATCACAACAACTTTCCTGTCCCATTAGTCTTGTGTTAACTTATGGTCTTGAAGTTTTGAGAAAACCATGTTAAAATTTAAGAAAACAGTACATTATCTTGTTTAATTTGAATATTCTAGATTCCCGGTGAGGCCCAAAACTTCTCCTATTTTTCTGCTATTGACCAATTTTCTTGCAAATTTTCTGTTCACGTATTTTGTTCATTTTTCGCTAAGAATTCAGCTTTCTCCTTAGTGACTCACAAAAACTCTTTCCATATTAAGGTTGTTAAACCTTAGCTTGTTAGAGCAGTTGCAAATATTTTTCCAATTTCAGTTTGCCTTTTGATTTTAGTTCAGGTTGTTTTTTTTTTTTTGTACCAGGATCTTGTGCTTACCAAACAAGGCACTGTGCCACTGAGCTATGTCCCTGGCCCCACCTTTTGATTTTAAAGTGGATTTTTTAGGGGAGGAGGGGCCTAGTTGAACTTTATATTTGGGCCTTTCTATTATATACTGTAAAAGTTCATCTTAGTGGGCTGATACAGTGGTTGATTCTAATAGAAGTGTTTGGGACCTTAATGCATCTTTCTTAATATCTCTCTAGGGTCTTGACTTTCATACATGTGATGAACATGTCCTTAACCACATCATTGGCAAAAGTTCCATCATCCTGTGGCTAGAGCAGTTTGAGCTGTTAATCAGTGTTTTCCAGGTACATTTTGAAGCAATTAATTTTGAACTTTTATGTAATGTCATTTTCCAGCCTACTTTTTGCCTTCCTGTCACAGGAATATCATTAGAAATTTATTCACAGCCATTTTTGAGTCTGTGTACAATATGTATTTTGCTATTCCCAGTTAAGTTAATATCTGTTCTCCTCAAACTGTCCTTAATGCATACACACTGCCTGTTTGAGAATGTATGAAATATTATATTGGTATAGGTCCCATCTAATTCCATAGAGAGTTTGGACTAGACTATTAGCATTAATAAAATGAAAAATATTTAAATAAAATATCAAGTGTATGGAAAATTACAAACCTTAAAAATTAAGGCTAGAAAGCAGATACACAAATCATGAGGTGTTACCGTTTTAAACTTGGGTTACAGTTTAGTTCTGAGCTTCCTGGTAGCAAAAGTAAAAAGGTCAACATGATTAGCTACATTATTTACATTGTCCTAGGCATGCACATATCTGTCTCTCAGAGGGATAATCTGACTAGAATTTTGTATAGATAAATTTATAAGCTCATGAATGCAAAAGCTGGAGAAACTACTTTCTTCCTTTCCTTTTCAAATAACAACAGCCACAAGTCCCGATTTCTGGGCTTCCAGCTCCGTACTCATTCTCTACAATTCTTTAGATATTGTATTTGAAAGATTTCTTAGTATTATTAGCTGTAGTGCATGAAGGCTTTAGTTTTTTGATTGATCTTAGATTCAGATCTCTCATACCGCTATTGAATTTTATGTTTTGCAACTCAGAGATGATCCATCATGACGGCAGACTCGGGGTTGACTTTGACCCCACGTGTTGTACATATTTTTAGTGGCCATAACGCACCCTGTACTACAGACCCGAGCCTTTCCACATCCATGCATTGCTTAGAGACATTTCCACTTCCTGCTCATGTACTTACGGTGGGGACTATTGATTTATATTACAATTTGTACATAAATCTCCAGCTGTGTGACCTCAAAGGCCAGAAAATATAAGAGAACCAATATACATATTGCAATGTATATGTTACTGTATGCATATTACATGCGTGTAATACATTATTGTAGTGGTGCATCTATGTAATATATATAGTTACCTATCTATTCACCTAAGCAGGATATGAAGAGTTTTATGAAGGAAGGGTACCTCTCATGGGGCTTGATCCACAGAGCACGTAAAAGTGCCTGTGCCACCCGGGCCACTTACTAGGACAGAAATAGTTGCGCCCCAGTGCACTGACCCTCTTCTTTCTTCCCCAGTTCCTCCCAGGTAGCTTTGTGTTGCCTGCCCTGGCCTGCAGCTCCCATCAGGGACTTGGAATATTTCTCTCCAACCTGCCATGTGCCAGGTATGGGAGTAGGATGAGAATGAGACGGGAACAAATGACCCTTTCTGCTCTCAGAGGTGACGCTGAACAGATGCTGGCCAGAGCAGCATCCCTGGTGGCCTGGTGGTAAGGTTGGTAGTGGACGGTGACTGCTTAGCTTCTGGACTGTGTGGAGGTCTAGGGACCTGCAGGGAGTGGTCAGGTCATCGGGAGGCGTGGTTAGAACTGCAGTCATTTACCAACTGGTAAGGAAATATTTAGATATTTTCACCACTGTTTGGGGATCCAGCTGTGGGCCCTCCGATGTTACTCTTCCTGTTCTCGAAAACACATCCCAGGGAAAGGTGGGAGGCATCTGGCCTCTGGAAGAAGGCAAGGATAGGGATTTCCTCCTGGCTGCTGGCCAGGCCCTGCCTGTGTTCTGTCCTCGGGTTTCTGTTGGCTGCTTTTCTGTTAGGCTGTTCTGGGCTCCTGCTGAGTGGTTGGCAGTAGGTGAGAAGTCCTTGGTCCCCCAAAGCTCTCTGGGTGTGCGGCGGTCGCAGAGAGACATCGTCCAGAGAGACAGCGCGGGCCCTTGCATGACAGCGTGACTAGCCAGGGTGGTAGGCATTAGACACGTGGGTGGGGCGCCCCTGGAATCTCCACGGCTTCCTTGCTTTCTCAGCTGAAAATACATGCATGGCCGTTTAGGTGGATGGAGTGGAGGGAGAAAGGTAGGATCTCAGTGAAGAGCTTGTTTTCTTGCTTGGTTTGAGAATATCTGATTTTTGATTCTCATTGGAGGTTCTAAAAGGAGAGATGCTTCTTCCACAGGGTCTGTGGCTCGCTGTCCCCACCGCTCGCTTCCCTTCCTCGTGCTGGGCACAGTGTCATGGCTGGTGTAGGCAGGAGCAGAAGGAGATGAGATGTAATTCCAACCCCAGCCCATATGCCCGGGAGGGACCCAGGTTCTGGAAGGAACCTCTGGTGGCTTCTGGGCCACAGTGGGCTGGCACAGGCAGGCTGCAGATTAGAAGCCCCCTGTTCCAAACCTGTCACCCCACCCAGGTCCTGGCCTTGTCCTGTGAGTAGCCAGATTTTGGGGGGAAGAAGGAAGGAGGCTGAGTATGCGCCCACCCAGGAGCACCGGAGGTTCTTGTGGGGCCCATGACCCTGCCCAAGTCCGCTTCACAAGAACGCCCTGCCGCTGGCCTCACCGGGCAGGGCTGTGGCCGCCTGTTTAGCACCACTGTTTTTATAAGCTAATGAGGGCAGAGTGTGAGCCACAGGCGACGATGCCAGGATATTAACTGTGACAGGAAGCTTGATCATAATTATCTTAACGAGGATAGGGTTAATTACAGTGGAAACTTAAAAGTTCTCTCTGTTTGACTCCACTGGAGCCGAATGCATTGTGATGGTTTGTCATTTTGATGTGACTTTGGAAAGGCACTTGGACTCTCTCGGCAGCCGCCGCAGCTCCTAGGGGAGCCCAGGCAGAGCCTTGCAAAGGAGGCGACCGAGATGGTACCTGTGGGTGAGATCACAGCAGCTCTGGCTGGCGGAGCGGGAGAGAGGCCCCTGCGAGGAGTTCCGCGGTGCTGATGAGGTTTCCGAGCAAGCCAGCCGCTGCCAGCACCTGTACCCACTTCCCCACTGGGGGTCCCTGCTTGCCCTTGGGGGCTCCTCCAGCTGGCTTTGCCCAATAGTGGGTGCAGCCTTGCCTGCCCCCTTCAGTCTCCACCCCCATCCCAGCATCACAGACCCTGCCAGGGAAGCCAGTGAGCAAATCTTTGGTGACAGCCACCCGCTCCACAAGGGCTCTGATTTCAGGGTGCATTTTGCCATCCATGTGCAAGGTTACAGCAGAGAAATTGCAATGCCGTCCTATCTTCCCTGCCAGCTACCACTGCCGTCCGGTTAAACACCAGAGACCTACGTGGATCTTGAAAGCCTTTTCTGCCTTGTCATTATATTTAACAGCACCTATGTATTGCAGGCATCTGGTATAGAGGGCTAGGAACTCCTGCATTGTTGCAAGTAATTTCTTTCTCCCATTCCTGCCTGGCAAACAAAAATAATTTTAAGTGAAAAATGAAGCCATCTTGCAGGCGTATGCTTATGGGTCCCTCCATGCCATCTGAACCCTCGGGATCACTTCCACTCCTGTCTTCCCCTTCACCGTGGGCTCTGCTCCCTGCCTCCTGTCCCCCACCCATCCCTTAGCTCTGAATGGAGCTGGTGAAATCGCCAAAGGCCGTATGCACCGGAAGCAGAGAGGCAGAGGTTGTTTACTCAGCAGCCCCCTACCCAATGAAACATGGTTCCCTTTTCATCGAACAGTTAAAAACATTGCACGGCAAAACCAAGTAGGTGCCCAGATTCGAGGTGGATTTCCCTCACTCCCCTCTGAGGTCTCATTCTGGTGTGCAGCTCGGCCCCAGATCCTGGCCCGCAGAAGCGGGTGGTTGGCTCAGTGGGCTGTGTACTAGTGTGCCTGACTTTGTCCCTCTTCATGCTGTGTGTGTGCGTGTGTGTGTGTGTGTGTGTGTGTGTGTGTGCGCGCGCGTGCGTGTGTGCGTTGCCTCCCCGAAGCACTCTTGGAAGGGAGGTTTCTTCTGCTTGCCAGTTGCCAACTGCTCGCTGTGTCTCATGACAGAAGTATAATATTTGCATAACATAACTTGGGAACAATGCGTATTTGGATGCTGCCCGTGACCAGAGCCCAGCTGATGTTTGTGCACAAAGGACTTATTAGCTGCCCATAAGGCTGCCTGACAGGGGGGAGGCACCGCCACTCCCCTTGCGGCACACAGGGGCCTGGGCCTGAGAAGCCTTTTTGATTGGTGGGCACCATTCATTGACCCCGCCCACTGGGGGAAGGGACTTGAGGAGAATGTGCCCGCCCCCTGCGTCCTCCACGTATCCCCCAAGTCAGGGGCCGGGGCGGGGTCAAGGAAGGCAAAGGAAGAACCAGCAAGTGGTTCACCCTCTCAGTCTTTGAGGCCCTGGAGCTGGAAGGAACACGGATCCGTAGCAGGGTGCCCCAGTTCACACTGCAAGATGGTAGAGCAGAGGGAACGGCCCACACCGCCCTGCCTACGTGTGTATAAGTTGTGTTTTGCTTCCCAGAACCCCGAGGAAGAAGCAGAAGGAGGAGAGGAGCAGCAAGTGAAGTGTCATCGGCCTTCAGCCAGAATGTGTACAGCTGGGGCCTTCCACTCTGCCCAGGCAGTGGTGGCTGTGGAGCGGGAACGCTGGGAACTGGGCCCTGTGCGGGATCACCCTGAGGCCTGCAGAAATTGGCACGCAGGCAGGGCTGTGGGCCCAGGGAGCCTGCAGATTTAATCACTGGCAGTGTAGTTTACACCTTTCAGGTATCAGCTCCCTCTTTCGGAGGCCTCTTGGGAGGAGTCCCACCCGGGAGCTCTGGGAGCCTCGGGAGGCGCCCGTGCTGAAGCGCACACCCCCACCGGACACGTATTGCACACGCAAGCACACAGGACCGCCACGGAGGTGCTAGTGGTGAATGACCGCAGTGTGGGAGACATCGTCCCGATTCGTCACACTCTGTAGACTAGCGAGGGATTCTGTGCGAGCCTCCCTCCAGCAATGCTGTAGCTCAGCTGTCGGCCCGTGCAAGCTCAGCACATCTTGAGGGTCTGGCAGGTGAACGAACGGGGAGTGAGTGTGTTTGTGCAAATCCCTGGACCAGGCAGCTCGCTTTAATTCATGTCTTGTGTGCGCCCGGGCAAGCACCGTGCACAACTGCCCCGTGTCCCTGCCCCATGAGAGCCCGAGTTCACTTCCAGCTACGTGTACCAACAATACCGTTTTCCCTACTTTCTGATATATTTTTTCCCCTAAGCCAGGTACTTCATCCTCGCCGATGCCTTTTTTATTTACTGTCTCGACATCCACATTGCTACACTTGACAGTCTTTCTTTTTTTTTCAAGCATAAAGTGAGAAATCTACATTCCATAAATTAAAACAGTAACT